AGAAAAAAAGTTATATACTCCAATGTGCGCGTGTATAGGCATATTTATGTATATACCTCCCTGAACCTGGTTTTCTACAATTCGAATATTGCTGTATTACTAGTCACTGCTTAGCCTGACACTATCACTCAAGTTTGCGATATTGTGACATCACTTCAGATGACTTGCAAATAAATGTGGAAAAAGTATATGTATTTTTGTGTATTTGCTGAAATCTCTTAAGAGTATAATTTATTTCATCTATACAGCTTTGTTCAGATTTGCACCAGTTTGACCAAGGATAACAGTTAAGAATGGGAAAAATTAGGGTTGGCAAAGATTGTGTATGGTTCAGTTAGGATGCCTGTGGCCACAACTCCAGCTACAGGCCAATTTAATGTTACAACTCTGATAGTGCCAGAACAACATCTTCAGTCTGGAGTAAAATAAAGACCAGCAGAAATATTTTAGAAAATACCAACTACTTCACAAACTGTTACTACAATTCATAGTTTGGGCTTTAGTTTAGATTTATCTAAAACATTTCACTGAATTGATAACATCTATTTTTATTTGCATCACATATACACATAGTTTAAGTACAGCACCATCTGCTCTCATAGGCCTGGTTTTAGTTTAACATCTTTCACACAGTTAATTTGTGCTATTATTTTATCTTAGAATACGGATCTATATAGAAAGGATAAGTGAGTTGGTTTAGTGGAATCAATCCAAATCTCAGGCACTTTGATTTACTCAATTGGTAAAGGGAACTTTGCTCATGAATTTACTGCTGAATCCCTGAAGATTTTCTCTGACAACTCCAGTAACAGTTACCTATGTAAAGATAGGTTTGTGATACGAACAGAACAATTCCCCAAGAAGTACAAAAGGAAACACCCTACAGTAATGGATACAGACTGAAGTGGAAAGCTACTTGCGCAAAAAAAAAAAAAAAAAAGCCATGAGTCAATCAGTATTCTGTTCTAAATATAGTAGCTTTGGCCGTTTTCCTGTTGTCCCGTATCTTAAATGTTTCCATTGGTCTTTAATTACAGTGCAAACACTTTTTTCTCTCACAGTTGGAGCTGGGAAGTAGAAAGAACAAACAACTCAATAAAAAGGATTTTCTCCATACTTTTAAGGATTCTATCCTGGATTGTCTTTGATTTTTTTTTCCAATTTTTAAATAAGATCAAAAAAAAGATCTTTTGCAAAAGGAAAACAATAGTAAATTCTTAGCAAAGTCAGTGACTATTTGCACAAAGTAGCAGAAGAGTATAAATAGAAAACTATCAGGCAAGTACTTTTAATTGCAGTAAGATCAACTTTCATTGCTGCACATCTCAATTTCCTTGGATTACACCACTAACTTATGAACTAGAATTCCTCACTGACCATAATGTCAGTAAGAAGATGTCCCTTAATGTAGGACTATAAAAATTGTTTCTGATTATATGCCAATAGTATCAGGTATTAAATATGGCTAAATGTTTCAGTTTCAACAACAATTTTTAATTTGTGAAAATTATAAAGGAGGCAAAACTACATTTAAATTCTTCTTACTTTTATGGTCACGGGAAAAATAGGTTACAGAAATATGGGAGGAAAATACCTAAAGAGGAGAATTAATAGGAAAATAAAAGTTGATGCCTTTCTTACTAGCTTTGTGTGCTAAAAGAAGGGAATTCAGGCTTTGAAAAGAGCATTTTGAGTGACACACACCCTACCCCATCCTTCCAGGCCTCACTGCTCTGTGGCAGAAAGGGGCACACATTCATGCTTTAGCTCCAGTTCAAATCACTAGTGAAGCTGCACGTAAGCTTAGAAGAATATGGCTTACTGCCACACTCTGCACGCTGTCCCAACCCACACTTTGTCTGTTGCTCTAACTCCAATTAAATTTGAGGTTGACATGCATAAGAATATAATGCCCTTATGGACTTCAGAGTAGCTAGAACAACCAGCTCAAGCAAATCTTGAGAATTCTTGAGAATTCTTGAGAATTCCTTGAGAATTGAAAAGTCCTTGAGAATTGAAAAGTCCTTGAGAAATGCCACAAAGATAAAACTTTAGCTACAAACCTAGAAAAAAAAAAAAAAAAAGATAAACAGTGTACTGCTAGCCAACATCACTCTAAACTCATCTCATCAAGGAGCTCAAGATGTCAAAACTTTGCAAGGGCAGATGTCAGTAGCACCCAGGAAAGCAGCTGCTGTTGTGAACCCTAGAAACATCTGTGACAGATCTAACTTAAAAATCTGTGATGTCTTTGTTAGGCTGTTGTCAACTCCCTTACTTTTTATTAAAATGTAGTATATTTAGTATTTTGAGAATTGCACTTTTAAAGAATATATGTGCAATAAGATACCAGACAACTAAGGGCTTTAAAGTTCCTATTGGATTTACATGGAAGGCAGGGCTTAAAAAGCTTTTGTGAATGGAGTTAAATCCAGTTGGTGGCTGGTCACATGTGGTGTTCCCCAGGGCTTAGTATCAAGGATCTGGATGAGGGGATTGAGTGCACCGTCATTAAGTTTGCAGAGAACACCAAGTTAGGCAGGACTGTGGATCTGCTTGAGGGTAGGAAAGCTCTACAGAGGGATCTGGACAGACTGGACTGATGGGCCAAGGCCGACAGGATGAGCTCCAACAAAGCCAAGTGCCAAGTTCTGCACCTGGATCACAACAACCCCATGTAGCGCTACAGGCTGTGGGAAGTGGCTGGAAAGATGCCTGGTGGAAAAGGACCTTGATGGGCCAAGGCCGACAGGATGAGCTCCAACAAAGCCAAGTGCCAAGTTCTGCACCTGGATCACAACAACCCCATGTAGCGCTACAGGCTGTGGGAAGTGGCTGGAAAGATGCCTGGTGGAAAAGGACCTGAAGGTGTTGGTCAGCCTATGCCTGAATATGAGCTGGCAGCATGCCCAGGTGTATTCCTGTATCAGGACTCGTGTGGCCAGCAGGACTACAGAAGTGATTTACCCCTTGTACTCAGCACTGGCGAGGCCAAACCTTGAATAGTGTGTTTAGTTTTGGGCCCCTCTCTACAAGAGGGACATTGAGGTGCTAGAGCATGTCCGGACAAGAGCAACAAAGCTGTTGGGTCTAGAGCCCAAGTCCTATGAGGAGCATCTGAGGGAACTGGGATTGCTTAGCTTGGAGAAAAGGAGGCTGAGGTGAGATCTCAATCGCTCTCTTCAACCACCTGCAAGGAGGTTGTAGCAAGGTGGGGGTTGGTCTCTTCTCCCAAGTAACAAGCAATAGGACAAGATCAAATGGCTTCAAGTTGCACCAGGAGATGTTCAGAGTGGACATTAGGAAAAATGTCTTCACTGACAACATTGGTTATTAAACACTGGAACAGACTGCCCAGGGAAGTAGTGCTGAGGGACATGGTTCAGTGGTAGGCTGGGCAGTGTTTGGTTAACAATTGGACTGAATGATCTTAAGGGTCATTTCCAACCTGAATGATTGTGTGATAACATTTTAAGTTGCCAATTTTAGCTTTTAATTTGGGGTTTGGGATAGTTTTTCCTTTGAAATATGGAGCCCTAAGTATTTTCTATTTTCTATTTGAGATCTAGAACTGTATATAGAGCATAGTTGCATTACTTCTGGCTATTTTTTGATTTTGTTACCTTAACAATATCACATTAATGGTTAAAGACAGTGGCTAAAGCATCTCTGTATACAGCAGGATAACTTCAAGACTTATTCAGGACTCACAGTGAGGGACATCCCTAGTTCAGATGGAAGTTGATGACTGTTCACTGAGGCTAAGAAGTTGGAGGCAGCCAATTCTGTTGGCCACAGAAGCTGGTGAACCCTAATGATATTATGCTGGCGGGTCACAGATGTTATGCTGGACTGTTGCTCATGAGCATTGACAAAAAGAAAATACACTGAAGAAAAATGGCTTTTGAAGCAGATTTTATTATACAGTGAATTGTAATACAGAAAACCTGTACTTATTTTTAAATATATATATGTACAAAATTACAGTGAATGCAGTCATCTGTAGTTTTGAGGAGGAACAAACTGCATGAACACCACAGTTTTAATTGTAAACAGTATAAATTAAAGTTTCAAAAGTTTTCACAATTTAGAGCCGTATTTATATAATATACAGACTTCTATTAAAAGTTGGCACATTCAATTGGCACTGAATTTCTTCCTCATACTAGTATGAAAACACACTTCTATTTTAAATATTTCACTTTATACTCATTGGGAAACCTTCACAGCTTAGGTTTACTTGTTACTCAGTCACCTAATGACTACTTTCCTATGAACCCAGATATCTATAGCCATAATTCAAAAAGCAGAAATTGTAGAAACAGGACGAACTGAGTAACACATTTGAACATACATTCCACATATCTGAGTCAAAGTTTATTGTACCATAAGAAGAGTTTTCTTATAAAACAAGATTAAGTCAAAAAAATGAATAATGATGAATATTGATGTTACCAGTCCTAAGGATACCAATAAGAAAAGATTATGCCTAGAGTAATACAGTGGAAAAGAAATACTAAAATAATTGATGTTGTAAAAAGCTTCTTCAATCCATTAGTAGCCTAGACAGAGTCAGAGGGATAGCATGACATGCTGTATCAAATCTGGAAAAGGTAGTGGCGAAGAGCATTTGATCTGCACATGAGATACTGGTCCATTCTTTAAATTACCTAATACAGTCAGAAATATCTTGGAAGTAGGTTTGTTTGTAATATAATGAAGTGCCTTAACTATATGAATAAATATCTCCCTTGGTTTATGAATTAGGGAACTTTCACTGAAATCTTTATCCCCAAAAAGTTACCCGATATTGTTGTACAGCAGTGGATTGTGGAAAAAAGAAAACCTCTACAAAAGGATCTATGTATGAACAGACTGTCTGCAGTAGCACAGAACCTATTAGCCTAACTGGAGATATGCATGGGTGCACATCTACATGATGCTCCTTGCAGGAGTGGCCCGTAGATATTTCCCTTGGAAAACATTTTAAACAGGCTATAGAGATTTAAAAATGTAATTTATTTTTCCTAAAATAATAAAGGATTTTATAGTCAATACAAAAATAGTTACACAGAACAATACTTAAACCATGTTAGGCCATAACTGTACTTCTAAGTAGAAGAAGCTGCAGCTTGTCTTATTAAGCCGATAATGTATGCTAAATAGGCACAAAGTGATTACAAGAACTTATGTGATCAAAACATTTTCAGAGCATCTCACAGAAGTTATTGCCTCAGAAATGTGTACCACGCCACAATTAAGAAGGGTCAAAACCAATACAGGATAAAATAATACTTCCATGTCAACTGAATAAAAATAATTTATATACAGGTCATGAGGAAAAACACGAAAGGCCTTTCCTTTTCAAATAAATACATGTATTAAGGGAACACATCCTCTGCTAAAAAAATAATTTTGCATGATTAAATGAATAGTTCTTACGTACTAAGCAAAACCATAAAAACATTCTAAGTACAATAGTGCAACCATGTCAGACCATAAAGCTGATGTTTGCCATTTTACATTTTAGGTAGAAGGCAAGGCAACCATTCAAAGCAAAATAACAGAAAACTATATATCCATTATTTCCATGTATAAATACATGCTTTAATTTCTAAATTTAAATATTTTTTCCAAGTTCTTTTGCTTTCACATGAATTCTACATGGTACTATGTGAAAATTCACACAGTGGAACTGATCATCACAGGATTTCCAAAACCAGTTCCAACTGAGCTATAGCTATATATCCCCATTTGGTTGTGCTTTTTCAGTAAGTTAAGACATTGATCATAAAACTAGTCCAAGGTAAAACTTTCTTAACAGTTTCCAACCCTGAATCTTATTTAAAATACAACACTGTTTCAAACTAAAGTTGCTATACATGACACATAAAAAAATCACAGAGCTTAAAAAAAAGAATTCAGTTTATATAATTTGGCCATATAACATGAAAGATTTTGGTCATTAAAATAAATGGAAGAAAAGTACCCAAAATATCAATGGCCCAAACCTGCAGAGAGGAAAAAATAGGTGTGAAGGCAGGTCCCTGGTCTCACATCCTTCAACCAGGCTCTCTACAGGCACGGACCTTCACATAGCATTCTCTGTGTGATAACAAGCTCAGATACGAAAGCAATTGCTGCACATGTACTCACGCTGCTAACTCTGTGATGTGGAACCCACATTGTTGTTATTAGACTAGTGAAGAGAAGGCTAAAGGGGATCGAACAGCCTACAGATACTGAAAGGGGAGTTAACATGAAAGCAGCCAAATTATTCTTGGTAGCAGATGATGACAAAATGAGGGGAAACAGTTACAGATTTGCAGCCACCGGGGAAACTGAGGTCGGACACAGAGGAAAATTTTAAAAAGAAGGGGAGTGCAAGCATGGGAATGGGTTGCCTGGAATGGTAGTGGCATCTCTTGTCTTTGGGGCTTTTCGCAGCCTGGCTAAGCCCACACCTAACCTGACCTAGGGCTGGAAAAAGTCCACCTCTGCTTGGGTGCTTGGGAGGTCGGACAAAACCACTTCCAGAAATCTTTTGTGCAAACAACTTTATGTGATTCTTGGTATCCAATCAAAACGTCTTGCTTATGCAGGTGTGTCAACAAGGTTTAGGCAAGCATATTTCACCCCATTTACTGCAGGCCAAGACCACAGAGCTGCTCAAACACGGTGTCTCAGCAGGCACACACAGAACACCGAGCCTTAGTCTAAACCCTACAGGTTAACAGAAGTTAATAGCACTGAAGGAACAACATTTTGGAATGTAAGAATGTACGTAACAGCTTCTCATCCTGAGAAAATGTAAATACCTACATTTTGTAAGCTTAAACTTCAGAAACACTCTCCTCCCTACTGCTGCAGGAAGAACTAACCTGCAAGTACAACCCACATAAATTCTTCTGTTTCACCCCTTAGGAGAGAGAGAAGCTTTTACACGCAAAGAACACAAAAGTGGCCTGCACCAATGGGCTCAGGTAGTGTGGTTTTCTCCTCAGAGAAGCTAATTACAGCTGTAATTTCCCTGTTTAAATTATACAGGGTTAATAGTAAACAATACATACATGACCAGGCATATTCCTGGTACACCTGCATCTCCTTCATTCTCTGCCACCTGCTCCAGATACGCGGTGCTTCCTGTACTGCTGGGTGGGAAGATGCTACAATGCTAAGGTCTCCTGCATGGAATAAGGTACTATGTGAAGATGCCCTTAGTACTTCACAAAGGACACCAAACATGTTTTCTCTTCTAGGGCTGAAGCACAGTACAGTGAAATAAAATGTCTTACACTTTCTGCCATTAGATTTCTCCATCTTTTTAAGAACAAGCTTTCAGATAGGTAACTGAAGATTAGCTGCTCTGATCTAGAGGTTTGAAAGGATACCTAAAACCACTGCTCTTCCTACTTGAAAACTGAGTTTGGCTTTTTTTAAATAGTGAACCTTCCCGTTTCTGAGAACTCCACATTTTATAAAACCGATAACACAGCACAGGCACAGTGTTCAAATACAGTTCTGATAAAATGCAGTAACAGCTGCCAGTCATATGGGTTTCAAATCAGTCCATAAAACTTCATCCAAGGTTGATTTACTGAGCTAGGTTTCAGCCTGGAGATGTTTTATTAATATACACAGAGAAGACTGAAACACTTTTTGCTGGCTCCGAAGGAGCCCTATCCCATTGCCATCAAAATTAGTGAAATCTGAGAAGCGGAATATGATTGTTAGCTGTAGAAATACCTACAACTTTTACTACACTACAGGACTATTGGGAATTATTATTATAAGCAATAATAACTCAGTCTTTTAGAGATGCTGACACCTAAAGCTACGACCGCTGGTGAGTTTCTCAGAATTTTCCTACATTTAGGCAAAGGAATTCTCATGAAGGTAAGCTGTTGCTGTTTATTTCAGGGACTTATTTTAATGAACAGTTTATACAGATGCTTGTGCATGTGCAGCAATTCTTTCAATTGCAGGTTTAGAACTTAAAAAATGCATAAACAATATCCGTTAAAAGAGACTCCTCTGTACTACTACAATCCCTCAATTCGTGTCTGAACAGAAGATGTTTGAAAAACAAGAGAAAAATTACAACTCATAGCTCTCTGTAATACTAATAATGATATAGTTAAAACAAACAGGAAGGCCTGTTAACCCATCTCAGTACATATCACAGGTAAATTATACTCTCTCTAGAATTGTGAATGGTAATGGTCCATGCAAGTGTTCCTTTCATTTCTGAGCTGTGTAGGATCAGATGCAAAATCTACTTCTCAGTTCTGAATCAAACCCCAACTCCCAAAATTAAATAAATTCTAACGCACCAACTTTTGTAAAATTACACCAGAAACTCATGCACCTGCCACTGTCTTCTCCCAACAGAGACCATTCTCCTTCATACCCGAACTTAAGGTCTACCTGGATCTAGGCAACCTTTTAATGGTTTGGTGTTTTCTTGGGAAATGTTTCATCAATATACAACTTAAGGCCTGCAAAAGCTAGATAAGCAGACATGACCAAAAAGAGATTTCATTAATTGGAGCTGTAATTTTTTCTTTTCCTATGAGAGATGTATGACATTATCATGTTATGTATGTAAGAAATATTGAGCCCATAAAGAAACAAGCAGGTAAAAAAGATAAAATATATTATATTATTGTATGCAGTGATTACTGTACTATTGATTCTGAGCTCACTTCATTGACTTGTATTATTTAAGAAAAGTGAAGCCTATGGGACAAAGCAAGTGCACAAATATGAATAAGTAGCAAGTAGAGTGGATTTTTAACATTATGTTCAATTTCTAAATACAGAAATATATAAATTCACAATAAAAAGAATACATTATTTAAATCCTTCATATTTTTTTTAAATATACAAGGTATTTAGGTCAGGAAAAGTATCTATCACTTAAACATTGCAACAGTTTTTCGTGAGTGCCGATTTTTTGACAGGTGTCCCAGCCAGGCTGGTTACTGACCTTGTATCATCTTGATTATCACTTCGTTTTCGCACTTCACTGTAAAAACACCAAACAAACATAGAAAAAAATGCACTGAACTAATACATTAATGTTGAATGTTCCATTTCTCCCAGTATATCTTACAGAGCTCACCATCACGTATTGTATGGTTAAGACTATGGGGTTTAGCGCACAGAATCAACATGTCTTCTAAGTTTCCAATTTGGGAATAATATTAGTATTTCTATACAAATCATAGTTAGTGATAGAAATATAATAATTTCTGATATGTAATAACTCCACAGTGTTCTGTTTTCCCTTTCCTTTTCCTTTGATCACTTTAATTTGCTTGCATCAGTCTATTAATAGTCTGTTCCTATTACACAGAAACAGAATACATTCGTAGCTGAAAGTATAAAACTAAATAACCACAATGTGAAATATAACTTTACCCTCATTGGGAAATGCATCTTGTTGGATGTTTTATTATAAATGCGGATTTAAAAGTTGTGTATGTATGTGATCTGTGTTCTTACTATGCCCCCCCTAGAATGTCAAAAGGCAGCTCTAAAATTTCTTGCTTATGTATAAAAGAATTTAAGTCCTCCTCCTATTAGTAGACTACATTCATGAAGTTCCTCTCACAACACTGTATTATTCAAAATAACATAATGAAATGTTCATTTAGAAATTTTTATTTCAAAATGAAATGCTTCTTTCAATGAATCACTAAGGCTTGAGTAAAGAAATTGCAGCCAACAATTCCAGAGCAAGGTTCTAGGTAATGTCTAGACCATTTGAGGATTAATGAACCTTGTGAAGAGAAATACCAATTTTTATTCAGTTATTTATTTTATGTTCTGAAAAGATAGGCTCCAACTGTCAAAACATTTTTTGTTTAACTTTTTCAAGGATAAAAAGTTACCATATTTAAACATTAGAGATAATTTTCCAATGTGAATAATGTAATATAACCGCACTATGTATGTTTTCCAGTTTCATAATCCACTGCTTCCTTCATGGCCAGATCCTTCAAAATGAGTCATTTAACAAATCAAGAATTAACTTCACATTCACACTGACATACAAATGCCTACATTCTTGCTGCACCTCTGGCAGATGCACTTGCCTGGAAATATGGGTGCTCTTGAAAGTCCCATGTGAAGAAGCAATGATCCTCTCTATAAAGCTAGTATTTTGCATTCAAGTCATGTTAATCACTAGTATTTTAACAATGAATAATCAAATACTGATCGAATATCAAAAAGTCTAATTATTGCATTAGGCTGCTGCAAAAATCACATGAATAGAGTTTGTCATTCTGGCCTTGAGCTCAACATATTAAACTGAAAAATCAGAGGTTGACGATTCATTATGTACTGCCAGCCCTTCAAAATTATATTACAAAGGATGGTATGGAAAGGCAGAAGTGTCATGTTTAGCTCCCATATTATCATAGATATACAACGTTGCCCAATGGATATAATCAGAATTTCTATCTTTTAAATAATTTGGAGAAAGGGACACCAAAGAAAATACATGGAATTAGAATGATCAGTAATAAAACTGAATACATATCAATGTATGTGAAAAAGTTAAGAACTAATTATACATAGAATTCTATGCATTTGAAATTAATTTAAGAAAGAATGAAGAAAGTAAATCCATGTACCATTAAAAATTTTAATTCATTCACCAAAACAGGTTTTAAAATTGTGAGCTCCGTAACTGAGCTCTAATTTAAATATTAATTATTAAGACAGCTTTGTAACATTCACAAGCAAAAATGTTACTTGATTAAATCCTGTCTTGTATTTATCTATAAAGATTTAACATGGTATTCTTTTTTAAAATTTTTTGTTGAATTTTATTTTGTTACAATGTTAAATGTACATGTGTGTCTTTGTATGTGTGTTCACATATAATGTCCTTTTTATAAAATAGACTTAGACGTGTTTATTCAAAAATAGAAACACGGCTGCTTACCGAGCAAGATGAAGAACTGCTTCTACAATATTAGATCCATCCTTAGCACTTGTTTCACAGAACAGCGCATTATAAGTCTGTGAGTAAAAAAAATAAAAACGTTAAGCCAACTAATCTGAAAAGGTTCCCATGTGGATATGTATATTCAACTACAAACGGTCTCCTCAATAACACAAAGACGACACACATTTCAATGAACAGGATTTCTTCTGGTACTCTTCATTCTCCAATATATTCACTTTAGTACTGTGAAAAAAAACAGTAATCGCTTTATAATTGTGTCTTTTTTATATTCATTATATTCTGAATTAACAAACTGAATAAAAAACACGTCGTAGGCTTAACGTCCAATCTTCTTGTCCACAAGACTATAAAATAGGAAGAGATGTGTTAGAACAGGTTACTGAATCCAGCTTTTTAGCGACGCATAAACTACAGCATCTGGTAGTCTAGGTCAACCACAAATATCATTCCATAAGTAACAGATATGATATCTGTCCCCATATAATGAATCAATTGGGCAAGCACTCGGCAACTCAAGACTCTAAAGATTCTACACCTTTTTCTGCAAAGAATGGGATATGTGAGTCATGTATCCCCCATATAAATACATGCAAAAAACTTGTCTGCACTTCTATTTATGACAGACCCAAGCCAGGCAAAAAGCCTTATGCGCTCACTAGCGTGCTTCGTATTTGCACTGACAATTTCTCTTTGGCAGCAGAAAAACTCTGTCTCTCACAATAAAGACTGAGAAGACTATCCCAGCCAATAATGAAATTCAGCTCAGTGGACACTGAGATGTGATTTAGCGCAGCAAACATCATCAAAATAGGACAGTTTTCATGAAAAATGTCCATGAATCCTAATTACTAGATTTGAACAAATGACCAGAAAATTACTTTTCTTTACTGGTTTCTCACGCGGTTGTACGATTAAAGTTCTAAGACCATTTCATACTAAAGAGGTACACCGGGAGACCTTACCATAGCCAGCTTTTCTCCATAGTTTATAGGCACACATTTTTGCCCTTGTTCTGTAACAGCTTGACGGAGATCTGCTTTGTTTCCCACCATCATAATTGGAATATTCTCATGAGTTGCATCCTGTAAAATAAAGATTTTATTCTCCTATTGCTAGAACACTCAGAATACAAAAAAGTAACTAGCATCATCACATCCCACGAATTTCCTTCCCACAAAAAAAGGCTTGCACTCTATCACAAAAAAATGACCAATTATGAAAGGAATTTCATGTGTTAAATTAATCTAATGGAAATGATTACTGTGTCCAAATTCTATGACAAAATTACTATGGGAAAAGTGACCAACTCCTGTACCATGACTAAAAGAAATAACTTTCAGAAGATGAATTAAAGATTTTGCTTAGCACTTTCCCTTCTATTAAACACCTCTGGTATGGGAGAAAAACTCTCTTCATCAAATGCAAATATGTATTCAAATAAACAAACAAAAAGTAACAGTAGAGAGAAATACTGAAAATTTCACTTGAACTATAGCTAATTTATAGAATCTACCATATTGGTTTAAAATGCAAAGACTCCAAGAAATACTCAAGCCATGCAGAAGTGGGTATCTGAAATGGGCTCTGACGTTCATTTCAAAAGGAAGTGAATGGGAAGCCCATGATTACGTGATACCCTTTTATACAAAAAGATGTAGCGGTTTTAACACTAACAGAATACATCAGGACACATTCAGGACTTCCATGTAGCTTTTACTTCTACGAGAGGCTGCAGTCTGGCTAATTCCGATATACAGATATCCAAATGTTATAAATAATAAGGTTAAAAATGCAGTGAAACATAGTTTGTAAGTTGTATATACTTAAGGGTCCTACCTCAATCATATCTACCCATTCTCGCACATTAAGAAAGCTTTTTTCACATGTTACATCATAGAGCAGTAAGACGCCATCCGCTCTTCTGAAGTATGATTTAGCAATACTCCGGAATCTTTCAGAAAAAAAATAAAAGATTTGTATCAGGCCACGTTATCAGAAAATAATTCAATTTAACCTCTTTAATAACACAGCATTACTTTATTGCACTATTGAGTAAGACTCTCTCCACATTACGAGTTTTCTCATAGTTTCTTTCTTAAGTAATTCTTCAAAACCGCTGATGCTGGTCTACAAATACTCCATAACAATCCACAGGATACTGTCCTAAACAGCAATCAACATTTTTGCATCAAAACAATCTACACTTTATCTATTCCAAATAATCTGCTTTGAACTGTACTTTTGATTAGGCGGCAAGGCTTTTTCACTTACATATACCTTCATAAATTGAGTGGGTTATTCTGCTACACTTGAAAAAATATGAAAACAATAAACTTATTCCAGTAATGAATTCATCAGTTACAGTCGTCTTTACTGTTAGCATAACACAATCTATTTGACAACCAAGTACAGCAACCAGGTATTTACATTATATGTTAAAACATTTTTCACAAATTTATTATATGGGAGGCAAATCAAGGTGTTAGATTAACCTCTCAATAAGGCACCAAAGCTGTCAGTAAAGAAGTAATGGCTCTCAAGTAAGGATCTAATGGGATTTTAAGGAAACTCTGCATAATAATTTGAAGAACCTTGGCTATACGTTCAGCAATTTAAAGTCTTTGGGAAGAAGTTTTCATACACTAAATACAAGGCAAATAAGGATCAGGACTTTCAAGGAAAGAAGAGGAAAGAATAGTGAAGGGAATGTCCAAGATAAAACAGGCTCAGAAATACAGGTCTGTAAGGAAAATGAAAGCTAAAGATTAAAAATGGAAGAAAAAATGTACTCCATCTTATTGTATTGTAAGCGAGGGACATATGGATTTAATTCATTAATGCTGTGATGAAGCGCAACTATTTCCCTCTGCAGAGAGAAAAGATTACCTCAAGCACCACCAAAGCTCACAAATTCCACTTGGTTTTGGGTCTTAGCAGAGCAAAAGCACATCTATTTATAGAAATTTACATATGGCCATACTGACTTACTACAGGGCCATATAATACTTATATTATAAAAAATATAAAAAATATTTTTTAAAAATATTTTTTTCTCTCAGATGAAAAAAAGCAAACATATTTTAGAAACAAAACAATTGAAATTACATTAAGTGCAGAGAATCACTAACCTCTCCTGCCCAGCTGTGTCCCACAGTTGTAGCACTGTAGGTTCTCCATCAACAATTAGTCTTTTCATTTGAAAATCCACACCTGGAAAGAACAACGCATACAGTCAAATAAAAAATATCAATAAACTTAAAAAAATCCACAGAAAATGAAAAGCTATGTGCCATATACAACAGTTATTTCAAAATTCATCTCTTTTATAGATTATGAGATTTCAGTCATTCACATAGCCTTAAATGACAATAATTCCCTGAACATATTTAATTTGTCTTTAGAAAAATATTTAAAGAAATATGTTACCCACACATTTTCCCAGAAGCACTGCTACAAATTTGGCATTATGACCAGTAAACGAGACCTCTCCCTGCTTTATTTTTATAAACATTTAGAAACTATTACTTATAAACTATTTTGCTAAAGTTTTACAGAAGAAAAGTCTGTTTTATAAAACAGACTTTATTTCAAATGCTAAGGATGAAAAAGATAAATTAGAACAGAAATCCTGACTCAGAGGAAACAAAATAAATATATAACTATGATTTGATTAGAAGACAAAAATTCAGACTTTGGAATCAGTAAGACAAGTTCATTAGCTGACAGCTATAATAATATATACAAGTCAGTCAGAAATACCTCCAGCTGCATTTAAACCACAGCTTCAATAACTCTTTGAAGAAATGGAGACAAAAAATAGTATGAAAGACATCAAAGGATAGTATGAAATGTTAAAGAAAGAGCTGAGAAGACAAGAAAGCAATGAAAAATGCAAAAAGGATCATACGCACATTCTAAGTTCATTAAACTGAAACTCCCTTTTCTGGTGCTTTGTGCTGTTCAGGAACAGGCTTTGTGCTTTGCACAGAGAAAGTAAATTGGAGCAGTATGCTATTATGCACTCCAAACAGCAGTTAGGCATTTCTAAGCTTTAGTACTCAATTAGATCTCACCGCCTAAGAAACTGCATGTGTATGTATATTCAAGACACCCTGGCAAGCAATCACAGAGAGTAATCTTTTCACCCACTTCTGCAGAACAGCAACGAAATTCACTTTAGTATTTTAAGAACAACAACTATACCCAGGGTTGCACTGGTGTTTCCTCGAAATTCATTCTTGCAAAGTCTCATAAGGAAACTGGACTTTCCCACTGCTGCGTCTCCGGCGAGAACAATCTTGTAGGCCTTCTCCGAGCTGGGGTATTTCTGAGCACATTCGCCCGCATCTGACTGAAAATAAGAAGAACCCCCCTGTTTCAACTCATACAGAGAATATTCCTGATGTCAATTTTTATTTTTATTTTCTTCCTAAAGAACTGGTTACCTGAGGGGTGAGAGCAGATATGTATTTCTTCGTTGAAGCAACTGAGCTGCTTCGACTTACTGGCCGTGAGGGCTTCCAGTCTAATACTGTACTGCTGTTATCAGGACTGTATGCCTCTTCATCCCTGATCTCCGGAACCTGAAAGCACAAGCCAGTCTGTTAGCTCTGGTGAGAAAAGTAGGCTTTTTTGGAAAGGCACAGCTAAGACTGATTAAAACACTCGTCTTAAGAGTTTGGATTAAACAGAGATAAATCACCCAATAGAGCTGTGCAATTCTAGTATTGTGATCATTCTGTTCTTATTCACATTTGCTGTATACTATAGCCTACATTTGGTCCCTAAATGTGTTTGCTGTTTGGCATACGTGCTTTTTCAGTACAGTTTCCAGATACAGCAAATCAATTTCCATATAGAAAATTTCAGCTTAAAAAAAATTAATTACAATAAACAAATACTTTATATCAAAGGAAATTAAGAATTTTGCTGCAAGATATTACTCTCTATGCTAAAGTCAAGCTAAATGAAATACAGCACAGCTGTAATCTGCACTACTCATAGCATTTTCAGCTGCAGAGACTAAATGTCTCTACTAATGCACTGTAAAGGATCTGCACTAAAAAAAGCTCTGTGTTACGCTGTGTCTGCTACTTGTCTTGCTATGTAGTCGTCAGTAAAACTCTCCATTTGACTAACAATAAAATGGACACAGTAACACATTCTTACATGTCTAAATTCCCCAAAATCTAGTGTTTAAGTGAATGCATGCACTAACAATATTCTTTGTCTCACATATGTGATTTTTTCATTCACTGCCACAGCATAGTAAGAAAAAGTGAATCGAAACCTGTTTTACTTCTATAGTATCTTCTTTTTAATCATTAGAAAAGGGCTCCTGTCTGAATGCTGTTTAACAATCTTCAAAAACCAGACGTACTTCAAAAATGAAGTTATTACCTCAAAAATCTATGAAAAAATGTCAAAATAAATGTTTTATTTTAAAGAGGAGTGGCTATTTATGCACTCTACAAAAAAACTCTAACTAATCTTATTTAAATGCATATAACCCAGATACTTAGTTTTAACTGGCCTATGGGCAAAGATCCATTTAATATTAAAAACAGGAAACTAATTTTATCTCCAACCAAAGGTCTTTCTCAGAGAAGGACTAAGTCGAGCACTTACATCTGTATCAGAAGCATCACCACCAAAGCTTTCTTGCATACACTGTGACCTTTGAAAAATCCTTTGATGCCTGTATTCCACTTCTGAATCATACTCATTTGAATCTCTCAGGGTAGACAAACCACTGTCAAAACAGCTCTCAGGTAAGCTGTCAACTTCACAGTTTATCCTTTGCATAGGATCACAAAGGGCTAAAGAATCATAATCTTCATCCACACAAGAGGAATGAGATGATCTAATAAGAAAATATTGGAGGGGGGAGAAAAAACATTAGTCCACCATTGTTTTTCCCAACAAAATCTGAGCTATTCTGGGATAGTCAATACTCAGAAATGCTAACTATACAGTTTAAGACATACAACAATGTCTACTTCACCTTTCTAAATTTATTTTTCAATCATATATCTTAGGATGCTCAGATTAATTTACATAATCTATATTACTGATGATGGCTTCCCATGTCTCAGTAAGAATGTCTATTTATTCATATACAGAAAAAATAATTGTTTAAAAAAGATTCAGAAAAAGATGTATTATGAAGATACCAAAGACGGAAAATGATAGTTCATGGTTTAGCTAATTTGGGCCTATTCTAAGACACAAAAAATAACCTTGAAATAGCGTATCTAATTTCAATTAATGCATTGCTCACAGAGGCATGCAGGCCAATAAGTAACAGCTATAAATATAGAAAAAAAAGGGTAACCAAGTTCAGGAGATCAGCAATGGTGGAAAAAAGTCACTGAAACGCATTTTCTGACAGTTTGGCAGTTTGGTAGGCTACGCAAAACCTAAGGTTTTACACAAAGTTCTTTTAAGAGTGAATCTTAAAAGAAACAAACTTTAAAAAATATATACTACCATTAAAATCATTACCCTGCTCCTGCAGCAAGACAGAAACAGGTACAAATTAAAGTGAGGTAGAAAAGGTCTCCAAGTCACAGCAAGAGAAGAAAGAACCGGTTTGGCTCTGTCCTATGGGACACGGATGTGAAGCACTGAACTGGTAGAGCAGACAAGATCAGCATCAACTCTTGTAAAGACAGTTTGCTGCCATAGAGGCTGGGACCTCCCAGTGCAACGGCACATCACAGAAGAGTACACAGGGGAGAATCACCAAATTATGAAGCTGTTACTGACTCAAATACAATTCCTCCCTGCAAGTCACCCAAACAGGGGTGACGAAGGCATCACTGTCCCATGCGAAAACATCCAGAAACATCTATTTTACATCTTTTCAGGCTAATGAATAATCACATGAATGAAGGCGATCTTTGCTGTGAAATATCACAGCATCCATGCTATTTGTATTCACACACTGACTAGCCAACACCACACCACTGAAATACAGAGGAAGGGTGCATGCTGTAACAAAGTTAAGCTTGTCAGGCATTTCCTGAAATAAAGGTCTTTAGAAGTTAATTTTCAACCTCACTGAAGCATGAATTCAATGTTGGGAATTTCATATGGGCTTAAAGCAAGTTAGACCAAGATGTATGATACAGCTAAGAAATGGAAAAGTATACCTATTTATGTAAACTGCTTAAAACATGTGAGAATCAAAATCAGTATCTCCTAACACTGATCTGATGTCAGGAGACAGAGCAAGTACTGAAAATGAACAGGTTTTGGGACATTTGTATCTGTTTTTGTCTTCTGATACTGCTAAGTCACACCTGATAAGAGCAAGTTTTATTCCTACCACATAAACTTTCTTCTGAAGTAGCTTGCATTTCTCACTTTCATGGGAATGCAAGGATTGCATCATGTGGAAGGTTTCTTGGAGACAAGGAAGGAAGACTGAGAATCAAACTAGAATCAAAACAGTCCAAGAGTACACAAGATGCTATCTGAACTCTCCATAAGTTCATGATTTGCACTGAAAAGAGTTTTCCTGAGCTTTCTGAAGTCATTGAAAAGATTTCTATTGACTTTTGGACCATATGCTATGGTTACACACTCCTTCTGAATCAGACAGAACAACTCCTTCTGTTATTGACAGTATTTGCCCTAGTCTTTTTAAATTCAATAAAAGCAAACCCGGCTTACCTATCATACCGTGGGTTTGGAGGAGACTGTCCACCATTAAATTTAGGACTGCTTCTAGAAATGGTACTTCCTGGTGAGGTGTTTGCTAACCTCTGTGATAGACACATAACAAATGCATAATAAGTTTGATGAACACAGTGCAAGCATCTAGATTTGTCATGAAAAAAAGACTGCATCATCAAAATTACTACTGTGTATTTTCATTTATATGCAACTACTTATTTTTAATTAAACCTCATGCTTTATATAGGACTGGATGTCAAAAGGGCCATTACAGATATCATTTAGCTTCCACTGTTGCCTCAATACTGAACCTGCTAGCCACACGCAACCATAAAAGACAACGGAAATTCCAAGAGGATGATGTCATTGACTAGACTACACCTGAAGACTTTGAAATGCTAACCTTTTAAAAGTAATATTTAGAAAAATGGCATATTGACTACTAAAGTGAAAAGAGAAATGTGACTGGCTGAGCTAGCTTCAGTAGTGATACCTCCCAGTTCTTGTGTGAGAGCGTGAAGGAGAGATCCCAGCTGACAGGATATGACAGAGTATTTCATACGTTCTGCTGCCCCTCTACATGTTTATTCACTGGGAACAGTTTCCTCTGTCTTCTCTGTAATCTGCCTCCCTGATGTTTCAGGGTTCAGCAAAAGGAAATGGAATCTCTCGTTGCACCTGCAGTGAATCTCTGGTAGCCTGTATCAGCAAAAGGCACTTGTGTTCATTGCTGGACAACAGGCAATGACCCCCGTTTTCCTCCTTCCTGGCCAGTATTGTCTGTGGAACCATTATTCTGGCCCCATCCTTCTAAAACAGTTAATTCCTTTCCTGATGATGCAAGGGCTTGCCCGATCATTAGTTCTGGAGTTTAACGTGTTTCCCAACATTGCAAAATGCCAGTGCAGAGTAGATTTTTTGTAACTTTCAAGCCTTCCTTTCTCACCTTTGGAGGCTGTCAGGTTACATCTGTTAAAACAGATCCCTCCACAGCTGTGATAGCCCAAAAGGGTCTTACTGATGCCCCTACTATCAACAGTCCCTGATATTAATTTTCCCAGTGACTTGCCAGGAAAACAGTTCAGATTAGGTTAAGACTTTTCTACTAAAAGAATGCAGTTTTCTGAAAAAGTGTGTTTTCAGGACACTGCCATGTACATAATACAAACATATTTCCTTTAGTGCAAGAGAAATTGTTGGTTTATTCACCTCATTGGATACATTCGGCCACAGCATATTTAAAAAGTCGCTACTTTCCAAAGCACTTCAGAAAGGAGTTGTGCTCTAATAAAATTCCATTATTTCACAAAACATAAGTAATATCTAACAAAATTCAGCTACACAAGTGTAATCCCAGAGCGAGTCCACTGAAAAAAACTCATTTTTCTGGAAGTACAAACTTGCATTTGGTATGTTAATTCTTAAACCTCCTAATACAACATAAAAAAATTATAAATACATACCAATGATCTGTTGTACTTGGTCAAACTGTTTTCAAGCGCACTTCTTAAACCATCGTTGCTATCATGTAGCTTCCTATTAGCTGATCTAGCAAGGAAGTAAAATAGTTTAACTTGCAGGAGTAAAGAAACCATTAAAAATTATGCAACTTATTACAAATTAAATTAAAAAAACCACATATATCAAAAAAGCTTTTTGTTTCTCTTTAGATAAACACTAAAGAGTAATGTGGAACTAGAAATGTGTTGTCATGTACTCAAACAAATGACCATACATGTAAAAAGCATAACGTTTAGCCTCCAGCAGCAGCCCAGGAAACCCTGTTTCACTTCTGTAGCATGGTCTGTGGTCAGCTGAGGGGAAAAAAGACACTGTAGGAATGGCCGCAAAAAAACCAGCTACGGGGTAGTTAATTGGTACAGCCATTTCTGAAATAGAAAGTGACTACCCTTTAAGTACTGCTGAGATGACTCTAAGGATAGATGTGGTTCAGCTGCTTGAAAGAAAGAATATGTTTAGGATAAAGGCATTAACTAAAGATATAAAAAAGCTATTCACTGTGACCCTCATTGAAAACAAATGTTTGCGCGTCCCGTGTATAAAACTGCACGCGCTTAGCACTTTCCAGGTAACAGTAAGACAGGAAGTTACTGGAGGAGCCAAGTCAATAAAAAAGGAGCCACGTAATAATTTTTGTAATAGCAGTGACAGACCCAAATCTTATTCATCATATCATAAAGAAATGAAAGTCATTGAGGCTAAGAAAAAAAGAAAACTCAATGAAGAATTAGTGTCTCTGTAAAATAGTAGAGTTAGTAACACAGGACCTCCTGTGAGAATTGATGCCATTTCAGTATTTTTACTTGGCATTTTTTCCCAAATCTCATCCCAGACTTTTGCATACAAAAACATTTACCCCCTAATATGTTGGCACATAGTTTGTTAATAAAAACCTGAATTACTGAGAACATACTGAAGTATTTCAATTTGTCGTTCCAGATTATCTCTGTCTTCAGTATATTCTCGAATCATTTCTAGGTCTCTGAAAAAAAAAAAAACCAAACCCAAAGTTATACTTTACAGGATATCCTTTTTTATTTTTATAATATTGCTTTGACAGAGGGCAAAAAGAGGTGAAAAGATATAATTTCAATATTTCTGAATACAGTTTTCCTATGTTTTCATATTTCTGCTGAAATATGTTAAAAGCAGTTTTATGCAACGTAAAAATCACTTGGTAACTTTGTTGATCTCTGCCATTATATCTCAACAAAGACTGTGAATGAAAAATAAAAGATCTGCAAAATAACCATGTGGACCTTTTCCCTTTACCCTGAAATACCATTTGTGTTATCTGAATATAACCACATAATGAAACTGTCATTTACGGTCCTTTAAATGAGTATCTAGAAGCAGCTTTCATTCACTTTAGAAAAAACTGGTCAAGATCAATGTGGTAGGCTTCCAAAACTATTCTCCCTAATATTCATACAGATACTCATCTAAATGCAAGTCACGGAGTAAAACATTGCCTGATTCTATAACTTTTACTCCTAACTGAAGTCCCAGTCATGGGCTTCCTTGCCAGATTATGAGAGTGCATCATATCCAGAACTTGCTCTCTCAGAAGCCTGACAAGAAGTGAACAGCAGCCATGGCATACTTTGCGAGGTGACAAATGCATACCTGACATTTCTGGCAAATTTAGCAAGTAACAGTCACCAACTGCATACATAATAACTACATCAGACAACAGATTATTATTTTTTTTTCTAGTGAAAACATTATTATGCAGAAGTACCTTACCTCTCCGTGTTCAAAGTCTGATCTGCATACTCGCTTTTCAAGCTATCTAATTCACTCTGTAGAAAAGCTATATTTGTTTGTGCTTCTAAAAGATCTTTCTTAAGTTTCTGATTTTCCTTAAAAAAAAGGAAAATATTAGATGTTAGCTGTCATAGTGATGTGCAGAAAATGTTCCTATATTATAATGGTAAGATAAAACCCACCAAGTTCAATTAAATGAAAATTAAACACAAGAAGATCTCAGTATAAAGGGGGAAAGAAAACGAAAGAACTCTAAATCAACAGAGAAGTCAGGAAATTAGCATACAAAATCCACTGAATTTTTATTTTTCCATTTCAGTTACACAAAACGGGGACTGTATTATCTCAAGCCATTTCTAAATGTTATACCTAGAATGTGCATGCATTTACACAGAATAGAGTTTTTTCCAAGTTAAAGATCCTCATACACTTATCAACAACTTTTAAAGGCTATTTCTTAGCTTACTAGTACTAAATGTAAAAAAAAAAAAATTACAAAATCCATACTGCAGAGGCTAAAACTGAGAGTAAATTGTCAATGATCATAATCTCTTACCAGCAACATATCATGCATTCTTTTTTTCAATTCAATCACATCTTCCCTGTGATTTACGTTTTTGGATTGCTCCTCCAACTAGAAGGATAAAAAAATGTGCAATTAATGTACATTACTGATTGTTCCGAGTCAAAGTACAAAAAAGTAATGGAAATCATATTAAATATCCCCTAAAATGTTTTACACTTATTAAAGTTTTTCACGTCCAGAGTTTTCCCAACTGTGTCAGTAGGCAGCATTACTCCAAAAATCACAGACTTTCTATACATTTTTTTAAATCAATACTTTAAAAAAATGTTTAATGAGCATTTTGCACTCTGTACATGTTGAATACACATAACTAGTGACAAAGAAGCCAGCTATTGAGAACATATAAACAGGTGTAGCCCCACTGAAGGGAAAAAAAAATAAAATTCTATACTGCCTCGGGTGCAGTGTTTGTATTACTACAAGCTCTCATGTTTCTTGTGAGAAATGTCTATTTCTATCAATGCTCTTCTAAATTCAATTCAATATGAAGAAACAAAAATATATTCTCATTGGTTCCTATAATTCTGTTAAAACTTATAACAAAAACCAATGTTAAAATTAAACTAAATTAAAAAATAACCCAAACCAATATTCATATGTGAAACTTCAGTTTACCTTATGCTTAGGTACCAAATGAAAAGATCAGGCTGGAGTTAGTTTCAGACTAGTAATAGCTAGTTCCACTAGTAATTTCAGTTTAAAATTACAGCTTAAACCCACCTCTACCATGAGAGAAATGCACTAACAGCTAAAAGGCACTATATTACTGTAAAATACTGTATTTGGGTTGCCAATTTCATCTAAATCTATACATTACAAATACTTAAACACAATATATTAGACTATTCCTAATGTATCAAATACAAGAGTAGGTAACAGCAGTGTTAAGAACTTAAGGGATCTAGAAAATTATTCAGCAACAGAATTTGGCTAGTCATTTGTCCCTTTCTGAAGTATTTCCATAAACTACACAGAATGAATACAACAGCACAGAATGACAACATAACCTAAAAAAATTATTTGCAGTTGCCATTTACAAATAGACATTAAATTAAAAAGCTACAATTATGATTATCCGTCTTGGGGAAAGCATTTCATAAAGTCAGCATCTCTTAAAACACTTTAAAAACTCTTGCTATGACTTCAAATCACTTACCTTTTTAAGTTTTTTTATTGTCACTTGAAGATCCCCAACTTCAGTATCATACTGGCGCTTTAGCTCATTTAGTGCTTCTTCAGCTTTTCGCTTCTCCTGCAATATGTTTAGTCTCGTTAAAAGTTCAGAGAGGTTTCAAATGTTTATTAAAAAAACGCTTTCATCAGTTTGGAAACTACAAAATTTCCCCTCAAATTAATGTGTGTAATTTTGTCTTTCCATTACATCAACCTGCATTACATCAACCTGCCCCTTCCTTAAGATCCACATATTCTGATTCTGTAATTGCAGTACACTTATAAAACATTCATAGAAATAAAATGGAAGATATGTGTCAATTCATTGTTTTTCACATCATAGTCTCCTGTGCTAAACATTCTGAATGTCTTAAAAAAAACCTGAGAGAGAAGTGTTCAAATTTTATTTGTACATAAATTTACATGGGTATTGCATGTATAGGAGCACACGCATTGCATATCACACCTGCACACAAATCAGCGCATTACATCCTTTTTTGCCAACCTTTGGTCTTCTTTGGGTTGGCCTACAATACACTAGGAGTAGCATCACTGAGCCACCACCAGTTACTTATTTCTGGTTTGCTTTTAAATTTTTTTCACTTCCGAGTGTTGGAACGCTACAGGTTCTTGTTCAGTAAAAGGTATGCTGATGGCAGCATCTTTAGTTTCATATGGCACTTGGTCTGAGTATCAAAACAAGTACGCTATTCTGAGTTTTACTGTCATCGAAACAGATTTTGAAAGGAAGTTACGTCAAGTGCAACGAGAAGAATGATACGTTCTGCATGCTGTAAATGAGTATGTGCTTGACTCATTCCAGTCACTCCCAAGGGACTTTAGTGCACGGTTTCACACCACAAGAAACCAGAATACAGCAGTGATATGTGGTGCCAATGACACAGTTTGAGTTTTCACACAGAAAAGACAGACACGGACTTTGCTCAGAATTCAGTGCGTTCCTGTGGGTGATGCTGACATCTGTGTGTCAAATGATAACCCATGTGTAAAAAGGATAATCAAAGATTCTCTTGCTGTTGGCCCTTACATGGGACTCCTAAGTATTGTCTGGTAACTATTTGCTTCCCTTGAAGAAACAAAATATAGGATAGGCTCAACCTGCAGATACTGTCATGCAGACGCAAGTGTCACAGTGGCATGAGTGAGATCATTCTGACAAACAATAGCCTTGAGTGCAGGCATTAAGATTAATGCCTTAGTACAATCCCACAAAGTAAATATCTTACATTTACTCTCAGGGCGTTTTAGTAGGTGGAGTATGTGGGGCCAGAAGCTACAGGGAACATTCAGGACTGAAAATGAAAAGCTCACTGTGAGAAACAAGTTACAGCCCATCTACAGCGTATCTATAGCTAGGTGTGAACAGTGAAATCACAACCCATGCAACCTGGCGACAGTTTAAGCACTTTTTAGAATGCGAAACAAAGATTACATGTGGATAATACTTAGCAGATGTGTTTTTTACATAATGTTAGTACATAACTGCGGAAGTTCTCAGAGTAGGCACACACAGATATCCCAGTCACCTTTTTACAGTAGTGAAAGAGTCTGCAGGGCTTTTTTCAGTGATCTACCACTTTTTGCAGAACAGAAATTCTCCAGAGCATAAACATCAACACTTTAGTCTCTCTGGAAATGCAAAGCTTATCTCTACTGAGAGTTGCATTACCATTAGTTAAACATGTTATGATACACTGTTTTTTCCCCAAAGTGACATCTTGTAACGTTTTTATGTTGCCTTATTTTGGTTCAAAGAAAACAACTGACTTCTATGGTTTGATAGGAGTGTTTCCTCTTGTATAGAAAAAGATGCTGCTTGAAGCAGATCTATCAGAATATCATTTACCTTCACAGATCAATCAGTGACCTATTTAAAAGCAGCAAGTTGGCAGACTGCACTTTGCATCTTCTGATTCTGCAAACGCTTTGGTGAAAGAACCCATACCAAATACAAAGATGTTCAATATACTGTGTGTCCTACAAAGCAATAATTATGCCTATGGTATATGTTTTCTTTAATGCATTTCTTATGTCCACATGAGAACACTTTCACAAACTGTTAATCTTATGCACATTAGAAAGTTAGGTTTATCTTACATGAACTTAGTTCAACATAAAGCAGACAACACAGGCAGGGTGGGTTTTACTGTACTGCTTTCTGCTTAGAATTACACAGCCACATGTGGCTCTAACATATCTTTCAATGGGTAACAGGAAGAGGACTATTGCACTTTTCTATCAAGACAACAAGCCGGTTGAAACAACAGCCAAAACTTGAGCACATTGAAACAGAACTTCCTATCAACTTTGGGAAGTCGGGACTCACATATTGTCATCACAATTACCCTCTCTTATGTCTTTAACTCTCTAATATAGCCGCAGGATAAGAATGGGGGAAACATCGATCACCACCCAGACAGATACACAAATTAGGAACAAATGATCTAAGCATTAATTTCTACAGAAATTAATCTACTAGGAGAAGTAGATTCCATTCTTTTATGGTGAAACGCCCTTTTCTCCAATCTGTTTCCAAAACTGGTCTCAATAATAAATTTGTATAGGCCAGCATGTTCTCACAAAAGAGAAAGACTTTTTTCTTCTTGATTCATCACATCTGAGCAGCCATTCCTCTGGAGGAAAGCATTAAGAGAATACATTTTTGATCTCACAGATAGCTTCTTTTCATCCAGGCCCTGCCTTTGGCTGCTTAGAGGCAGCCCATCAGGATCAAAACCACACCTGGCCACCGATCCTGCTTAAGACCACTGAGAGTTTGGTAATTACAAAATTCTGTAAATATAAAATACTCACTTCCTTTTTAACTTTGTGCTCTGCAGCCTGTATCCGTTGTTCCATCTCTTCCTCCAGCTCACTGAGCTGAACTGCCGCTTTATCCTGAGCTCTAAAATTTAAAAGTAAATACTATGTTAGGAATTGCCCTCTGGCTTGATAGAAATGTTGTGTGAAACACATCTGCCTACCTCAGCTGAAGCCAATTAGACAGGCAGACATGGAAACAGTTTAACATTGCCCAGACCTTGAAACTGGTATGGTTGGGAACCAAAATCATAAATTAATTTGAAGATACAGGCAAATCATATTTTAAATAACAGCTGACAGCTGATGATTAGTACAAAATACATCCCATCTGCATTTTGAAAATTAAGTTACAGAGATAAAAGGCCCTTCTGGTTATCCTACGAAGAGACTTCAAAAGGACAACTACAGCAACTTGCACCACCCACGCACACAAGATCTCTGTCCTGAGCTAAACTGTTTGATTTTGGCAGTAATGATGCAAGATTGAAAATGGCGAGTAATTACAATAGGTAAATACACCCCTTGAAGCTGAAGAAGCAAAGAATATGTTTTCTAAAATGAAAGTAAATGGGCGCGTATGCTAAAAGTCAAAGTTACAGCCAAGGAAAAGGAGGCAAAATGGTTTATGATATTAAAATAAGAATAGACCCAGCAAAAATTTCATCCAGGACTCATCCAAAATGTGAAGCAAGCTGCTCTATGTGCTTATGCACATGTGTATGCATATAAACTAACCTTTGAACTCAGTTTATGGAAATACTCACTATACCTTTTTACGGCAATGGCCAAAGTTTCCATCTCTGTGCTTTGAAGCTTGATCTCTCGGATGAAGTTCTTAATGACATGTTCGTACGGCTGGATTAATCTTGGTTCCGCTATGTGTATGTTCTGATACAGAACACTGACCTGCTCTTGTCTGAAAAAGAAAGATACCATTTTAATGCACATATTTGGAATAATGTTCTATAACAATTTTGAAAAATGCATTCTTAATTAAGATATTCCCCTTTTTACATGATTTTTAAAATTTCAGAAGTTAGATACAGACTTTGAACGTTCAGTGTAGTAGATCTGACTTATTCTAAATTATACTTATCCTGCCTGCTTCTCTACTTTAATATAGTTACTGTAGAAAAAACTTTTTAGCTTAAATATTTCTTTTGTTCTTCTACTCATGGTGTATTGAAGAGCATGCCACTGCAGTAACCCATAACTTATCTCAAGTTATCAACTATCTCAAGTATCACAATCTCAAGTATCTCAACTATCTCAAGGATCACAATCCATGAAGAAGTTCATGACTTTAGGAGTCTGATAAGAAATAAAATGGGTATGAATGCCAACTACCTAAGTTAAAATGGATGTTTAAAGACAGGAGAGGGAAGTGATCAAATCTTCTCCAAGAAAAAAAAAAAGTATGTTCCCTCAGCTATTGGACTTCTATTATTTACATCTCCTGTACCAATGTGTGGCAGGAGGAGAGCTGTAGGGAAAATGAGAATACAGCTCTTTAATTTAAGACAAAATATTCTGGTTTAGACAACTGCACTCCTCATAATGCCAGCCCTGTTTTACAGCCCAAAAAATACATTGTTTTAAGAAATTAATTCTGTATATGATTCTCATGCGAATGATAACAGATGGAAGAAAGTTTCTGTAGACCCTTTTGTTATTAAAAGCCCTCTTGAAATTTATACCGCTTCTTAAAAGCTTCCCGAATGCAGGAATAGTATATTCTGATTTCCATTTCATCTGGACTCATTTACATAGAGTATATGCAGTCTTAATCATCAAAGCAAAGACTCTTGACAAGTTATAAAAACGAAGTATAGAATAAGCAAAGCACCAAAACATTATTACAGAGGTTACTACATAAAAAGCACTGATTTCTGGTCATACCACTAGTAACACCATGTGCTGCCCTTTGTGCTACATGCCAACTAGGTTCCAGTATCTGGATTACCACAAGGCAACACACCAGACAAAATCCTCTAACAGGATCTAGCAGTTGCAAGGAAAATAGAAACTGATTGCCACATAGACAGAACATGAACAGGTGTTGAAGAACTTAAAAGTTAAATAGAAAAAAAAAAAAAAAAAGGAAAGAGAAGATCAAGTCTAGAAAGATGGAGGAAGCAGGCCAGTAATGACGAATATAGCATTATCAGTGGCAGAAATGCAAACAAAAATAATGTTTTGCCAGTTCTAATCTAATACCATATCTAGAATATCACTAATACATGATCTCTTTTTGTTGTTAAAGGAAAGCTTAAACTCTGATTTAATAGTCCTCATTAGACAGCCATTTTCCTACTACTGTGGAGGTAGTACTATTTAATACCTTCATTATGTGTATGATATCTACAATCAATGTATATCCTCTGCATTTTTTCCCCACTTGAAGCAATTCCACAGCCTAGATTATCAACATTGCAGCACTCCACTTCTTCTATGTGATTTCTCCACTGAGGGTATAGCTTATTGTATTACAACAGTACCATAATTGTTACTGTAGCTCAGATTCCCACTTTAAACAACTGAAGTATTTCAGGACACCACAAAACCTGTTTCCAGCTGAAATGCTGACATATTTCAATATACAAAAACATAACTGCAGCACAAAGAAATACAGATTTACTGATGCCAGGGATATTTCTGTGTAAAAACACATTTCTGTCTTGCAAAGGGTATCCTTTACAAAAGCAAACGCTTTATCTGTATTCAGTATTTTCAGAAGTTACACTAAATCTAGTGATCTGAATATCCTCCAATGTATGCACAAAATTTCTTTGTCAAAATATATTTTAAACAGAGTAATGTCAAAGTTTAAATGTCACAAATACTCACAAAAACACACAGATTTATCTGACCATCAGATGCTACAAACTATGTATCACTATAATATATCACTAAAGAACTCCGTAAATATATGTTCACTCAATTAATAATTTGCATTTAAAAAACTGTTAAGAACATTTTTCTTAGCAACAGCTTTGTGCTAAAACAACACTGACATTATCAGCACCATCAGAAACATTAAAATAGGACACACACACACACACTCTCAAAAAAAAATTGGAGACTTAATATCCACTTTCTTTTCATTCTATACTATTACAACATACAGACAAACTAATATTTCTGTTCTAAAGGGTTTACAGAGGTTTGGAACAGTTCTGATGATAGCTTGTATAATAAAATAAGCCTGAGGTCCAGGTTCATCAGATCTCAATTAAAGTTGAAGCATACAGCAGAACTGTAGCATATAGACACTGATTTCCAAGTGCACGCAGCTGCACAAACAGTAAGTTCAGTATCTCAAGGTATTAGCATTTACTGAACTCCTAGTTGAATGCAATTCAACTTGCATTAACACTGGGTAGGGCTGAAGCTGGAGTCTGATTGTACTTCAGACATTACAAAACGTAGCCTCTCCTTCATCCCTCTGTTCGAAATTCAATTTAGTTTTGACAGCTGGACTCAGAGCTGGTAACGTATGCTCCATTTTATAAATTCCTAGCACTTCAGCAGTTGTCCTTCAGAGCTGCAAACTGTTCACCAAAACAGACAATAAACTATTCCAGAATAGTTTCAAATTTTAGATAGCAGACATTGTGCATATGCAGAATTAGCTGCTGAAGAATGTCACTTCTTCTAACAGTGGAAATATCCACACTGTCCTTTAAATGAGTCACACGTAAAATAGCAATGGCACTAGCCACAGCGAGATGGACAGAGTTTATCAATCTTCCAAGGTAGACAAATACAGCACAATTTAGATTAACCTATATGATTTTTTAGATATACAAAATACAAACACGAAATCTGTGTTCTGAAATCTTCTTTTTTCCTTTAAATTTCCTTTAAATTTCACCAATAAGATGCTTACCAATAATCTTGTTTCCTAAAAAGCAAGCAAACAGTAGGAATATTACTTGTTACTTGATGCTAACATAAAATATTCACTACTCAAGAAAACATTTTCCCAATCACAGGTCACTGAATTAGGGTTGGATCTTTAAGGATCTCCACAACTTTTTTCATAAGATTATAGGATTACGTTGGTACTTTATCTTTCTCACCCCACCTTGTCCAGGATTAATCAGCTGCTGCTTTTAAATCAAATGAAGCTACACCCATAAAACTACCCTGCACCTCAAACTGTACTACAAATTCTGTGCTCAGAAATAGCACGTGCATCATGTTAATACCAGAGGCCTCCCACCATACAGATTATTCATGGAAGTACAAAATTGAAGGTACAGTCTCTTACGCTGATGGGAGTAGAGTATCAAACAATTAGTCTGGCCTTTGCTCACTGTATTTTGCGCCAGGAGCAGAAGACATTTGTAGTAGAAGACTGCAATGCATTTCTGCAACTTTTCTTCACTTTACAAGAATGCCACAGCCACTCATTCTTGCAGCTACTTTTCCAAGTGTATGCAAATACACATAACAGCACCAAAGACAGAAATCAGCATCTCTGTGCTGCTGAGCCTCTGCAATACAGCTAAGTCTGCTCTAAGATGCAGTAGTAGCCAGAAGCACTACTTAGCTATTGTGAGAGTTTCTTCTCCCTCTGTGACACAAAAAAAACCCTTTATATTTATTAGCCCTCCTTAGCCCAGTGACCAGCTACCATCCAGATGGATTCAAAATATCTCTGTGATCCCATTTCATGAAGCAGTACTTAGGCTTAAAAAGATACAAAAAAGTACCCGTACACTCACAACTGTGCAGGATCCTGGAAAGGGCCTGGAAGGCTATTTTAAAATTGGCCACTGAAATTCTCAGTGACTTACCTGAGTGCTTCTGTGGCAACTTTACAGGAAGTCTTAATGAAAAACATGACTCAACAACTACTGCAGCAACAAAAGAATAGAGGAGAAATTGAAGTTATGCAAAAAAATTGATGGGACTCTGCTTAATCATTTATGCCTTCAGCAAGAAGTATAATACTCTTTCATGAATTGGGAAGATCACTATTGATTTAAGCACTCCAAGTATCCTTGATGAATTAGCAGCAAGCACGTGTGATAATATTTTACACAGGATACACAGGATTTTAGGACGATGCACTCTATATCAACATGCAGTGAGTACTGACAGTTGAGAGGAATTGTTCTGAATTGCCTCTTTCTGTATTTTCAATCACTTCCTTGTTTTCACATGCTTTGGTAAATATCAGTGACACTGCTGCAGCAGGACAGATTAGTTGCAATAAATACTGTCTAGTTTGTTTGTTTGTCTCCAGTTCCTCTTGAATACACTTTATTTCTTTCTGCAAATTCATTAGTTATTCAAAATTGTTTAATAAGGAAGATTTCACAAATGGATTTTGCCAAGCTGACTCCTGAACTCTTAATAGTCTATCCTTTTGCTGGACAAAAAGACAACCAGAATTTTGCTGAAACTGAAGCAAGAGCATTCATCAGAAATGCTCAGGCTTGCCCTTTAAAACTGGTCTTCCTTGAAATCATGAAAGCATTTTTATATGGATTTTGCTGCACCCCTTTAAGTTCCACACTAGCACAACTGTAGACCCAAATACTAATGCATAGAAAGAGCATTTTTAGATATTTATATATATCTATAAGATGAAAGAAACTGTCGCTTTGGACCATCTGGCACCATGTTTACACCACCTACCATGGACACCTTTCTGCTGCTTCTGCAAAGTACAGACACAAAACACTAGTACACAAAAAGTATAGTACTCTGACCCAGTACTGCTCTGACTTTACCTGACCTCATCTCAAAGGTTTTATAACATAAGCCGTCTGTAAAATTAGTAAGTGTAATTAGTAAATATTTGCACTTCACGTAAGACTTAAGCAAAGTTACTGCATTCACATGGTTTCAGAGAGTTCCTGAGAGAATGACGGAAAGAAAATAAAACTGACCTGATGATAATGC